AGTTGGGCTTATCCAACTTGGTGGATGGAAAAAAATTCTCTCTCACTAATTGGCAGAGTAACATTACTAAAGGCAAATATATTAATGATGCTTCAATTCATAATGAGAGTTTTCAAAAAACCATGGTGGAGAACTTAGAGAAAATACAAAGGAAATTTCTTTGGAATAATAATAAGGAAAAAACTATTAATCTTGTGAACTGTTATTACAATCGGTTAATACAGTGAATTTATCTAAACAATGTTGGTAGATATTAAACCAAATAATCTATGGGTTAAGCTAATTCAAAGTAAGTATATAAAAAATGAAAATATCTGGCAGGTTACCCCTGAAAAGATCGAACTGTTCACGGACATAAAAGAGCATACTTGACTCAAGAGATATCTTAAGAGAAGGAGTAGRTTGTGATAACACAACTGGCCAATATCCATGTAACTGCACATTACTTATCTTCTTCTCTCTTCTAATATTTGTATTCTACTCAAATATTACTTAACAATTATTTAAATACGCAACTCTCGATGGAAGAACACTTTCCTTAGTTTTCTTGTTTCATGGTATCAGAGCATTGGCGACATTGCAGTCTGAAAACCCAGTAGCAACATCATCTGCTGTTGCAACCATTGTTACCTTATATGGTAGGTGTAAAGTCGTCTAAGCAAGCTTGGGACATTCTCGAACGACGTTATGCGTCCTCGACACCCATGCACATCACCACCTTACGTCGACAGTTGCACAGGCTCAAAAAGGGATCAATCACCATGGCTGAGTACCTACAACAGGCTAAAGTCATTTGTGATAAGCTTGCAGCTTGTGGTTCCCCTCTATCTAATGAGGAGTTGCAAATTTATCTTCTTGATGGATTATATTGCCTCCTTCATACCGTCCTTTTACATCAACTATTAGAGGGCGATCTCGTGGAGATGGTGTCAYTCTTTAGTAACTACATGATCTCCTTATTTGTGAAGAATTATATCTTTAATTTGGATTTTGGCACTTGCTCACAGCGCCCACATAAATCTAGATGTAATACATTCAATGGTCGTTCCTCTCCATAGTAATGCGATAATAGTACTGGAAAATACTTTGGATCAACAACAGTGTCAACCACATCTCCACCCAACTCCTCCTCTGGTGTTGGTCGTGGTCAAGGAAATGGTGGATGCCAACAAGGTTTCGGTAATAGACTTGTATGTGAGATCTGTAATAAGGTGGGTCGACATACGGCTATAGATTGCTTCCAATGCCTGAACCTCTCATATCAAGGAAAACAACCCCCAGAGAAATTAGTAGCAATGGCAACAGCTGCTAAGGATGTTAATTGGTACTCTAATACAAGCTCATCCCATCATATTACACTAGATCTCAGCAACATTCCTCACCATATGCCATATTCCAGTATGAAGAGGTCAAGGCCTAGTACTTTTCACCTTACTAATGTACTTTATTGTCCTTAGGTCTCTACAAAACTTACTCTCTCTGCTTCTAAATTCTCTAAAGATAACAACTGTTATTTTATTTTTGATGAATCTGGTTTCATTGTTAAGGACAAAGTAATGGAGTGACACTCGAGTGCAGAGCAACTGAGGGAGGACTCTGCCTCTTGAAGCCTATTCAGGTATCCCACACTTCTCTCATAGCTCTAGTAGTCAACATCCACACCACGTCTAATAATGTTTGGCACCATCGCTTAGGTTATCCGTCACGTGACATTCAATCCAGAATTTTTCTTCTTCATCTATTCCTTTTTCTGTAAATAATGGCTTGTGTTCATCTTGTCAACTTGGAAAGAGTACTAAGCTACCATTTAGTTTCGTTCTACTAAACCATTGCATCTTATCCATTGTGATATATATTTGGGGACTTTACGAGATATTCATGGCACTTTCCCTTGCGCTACAAATCTGAATTTTTTTGATGTTTTTTATCTCCTTCAAAGCAGGAGTTGAGAATCTCTTCAAAACCACAATTAAAATCATTCATACTGACGAAGGTGAAGACTTTTCCAGCACTCCCTTCTCTAATTTTCTTAATCTACATGAGATTTCACATTACCTATCTTTGCCCCCACACCCAAGCCCAAAACGGTGTTGTTGAATGAAAACACCGTCACATTGTTGAAACCGACTTAACTTTACTCTATCATGCCCCTCTGGGTTGAAGCTTTTCACAATGCCAATTTATCTTGTTAATCGAATGCCATTACACTCCACTTCCCCGTCTTCACCTAATGCATTCTTGTTGGCTCCCAACCAGACTACACCCATCTTCGTTCATTTGGGTGTCTTTGTTATCCTTGGCTTTGTCCTTACTGTCACCACAAACTTGAATCTCGATCCAGCCAATGTGATTTTCTTGGTTACAGCCTTCATCACAAAGGCTACAGATGCATGGATCTCACTTCTCATCGGGTCTATTAGTATATTTCATGCCATGTCACCTTCGATGAGTCCAAATTTCCCTTTGCCTTCACATCTTCTTCTTCCTCTCTTGTACCTAACTCAGACTTTTGTGGTGTTTAATCCCGTACCCACATCCTCCCCACCCACTATTGTACCTAACCTAGTCCCTCCGTCCCCTAATGCTTTCACACATCCATATGACAGTCCCACTTTTGGGCCTGATCAACCCTTTAACATTGGGCCTGATCCACCCTCTTGGTGTTCAAGTAAGACACACCACCACAGGTTTGTTCCATGATCAATCAAAGTACATCATGGATTTGTTAGACCGCACCGCCATGGTGGGTTGTAATTAAGCCCATCAACACTCCTGCACCTAGCGCCAAGCTTAGTACAGATGATAGTCCCCTTCTTGGTGATCCAAACCTTTATCGCAGTGTTGTGGGGGCCCTCCAAGCCTTTCTCCATGAATCAGGTCAGTAAATTTCTTCAAGCATCGCATCAAACTCATCTCACAGCAGTTTCAGTGAAACTGAAACACATTCTCAGATATCTAAAGGGTACACTTACCCACGGGCTTCATCTTACGCCAGGCCCAATCACTCTTTCAGCCTATTGTGATGTCGACTGGGCTGCTGGATGCCCTATAGACCGTCATTCTACCAATGGCTACTGTGTTTTCTTGGGGCCCAACCCCATCTCTTGGAGTGCCAACCACTAAAGCCGAATACCGTTGCTTGGCTCACACAACTGTTGAGCTATACTGGCTTTGTTACTTATTTCGTGAGCTTCACATCCCTATTTAGTCACCTCCAATCCTTTGGTGCGATAATGTCTGAGCCATTGCCCTAATCATGAATCTGGTGTTTCATTCAAGATCAAAGCACATTGAAGTGGATTTTCACTTTGTGCGTGAAAAGGTGGGGTGCACGCAACTTGTTTAAACATGTTCCATCTGAAGCCCAGGTTGCTGGTTTGTTCACTAAATGGTTGCACTCCCCTCGTCCTTTTCAGCTATTAGACAAGTTGAATGTGGGCTCACCCCCAGCTCAGCTTGAGGGGGGGTGATATTAGAGCTGGACGATATCCATGTAACTGCACATTACTTATCCTTGTTATCTCTTCTAATATTTATATTCTACTCAAATACGCCACTTGTACTATGTATCTTAACAATTATTTAAATACACAAGTCTCGGTGGAAGAACACCCCAAGAACTCTTTTCTTGTTTCAGGTTGGAAGGTGGGGAATGGGATGACGTATGGGTAGGAAATTCCCCTCTAATTGAATATATGTGCCCAACCCACTTAAATCAAAACTAAATGGAACGCCAGTAATGTTAAGATATTCACTTCCATTTCTCTTCTACATGCGTGTTCTTACATTGGCCAATCTAGGACACCAAGTCACCGGGTCAGATTCCCATATAAATGATTTAAAGCTCTCCATTATTTGTTTGTTTGATGCTTGTGATCTTGTAACTGAATGTCTCTGAACTGTAATTCTTCCTTGTGTATCAAAAAAAAAAAAAAAAACTCCTACCTATGAACTATTCCAGGCTTAATTGTACTTAAGCTCTTAGATTTGTGCCATCCTTGTTCTCACAAATTAATCTCCACTCCATTAGTCGTGTAAGTTGGGACAAGTTAGATCGGGTTGAGGTCAATCCTAACCCAACCTAAATTGTTGAAACCCAACTCTAACTACCCAACCTAACTTTCTTGGGTTGGGTTTGGTTTGCGTTAGCCCAATTTTTTCACTTCATCTTGCTAAAATGTTCCTAGTTCCTAAAAGTTAGGGGCTTAGGATCAACTTTTTTGGGTAACCCAGCCCAAGTTGCACACCTTTGAATGGCTAAACTCCATGATTACCCCTTGGTTGTTTCTTAAGCTGCATTTGGCATTCCTTATTTTAAGGACTTAATTCTTTTTGCAGTTAAAAACTTGGTGTTCAACTGTTCATACAACCATTTTAGTAGTAAAAAGGAGATAAGTCTTTAAAATAAGGAATGCCAAATGCAAAAACTTAGGCCATGTTTGGTTCAATTCTCATTCTTAACTAAGACAATTCTAAAATGGACAAGAATGAGTAAAAATAGGCAGAATGAGAAAATATTACTATGAACCAAACACTTTTTTCATAAAAATGATTTCTTTTCACACTGACAAGTGTCATATGTTGCTCATTTTCATTCTTAAAAAAAAAAACAAAAAAAAACTATGTCGGTATTCATAAACTGCTAGCCTAGGTCTCCAAAACTGTTGGCATAGATGTTTTCTTGTGGATGGATGGCAGTCAATGTTTACCAGTTAGCATAGATGTTTTGTAAAATTACTTTCATAAAAATTATTTTATAAAAGTACTTTTATAAAAGTACTTCTGTAAAAGTACTTTCATAAAAGTATTTATGTAAAAGTGTTGTTCTAAAGTACTTTCGTAAAAGTTCTTTTGCAAAAGTAAACATCTATGACAGCATTTTCCTCAACGAATGAAAATGAGCAAGATGGGGCATGATTATTTTTCACGCTGCCGGCTACTCAATTTTTCTGCTATGGGGCTGATTTTTTATTCTAAAAAGCATGCGGCCCATGACAAGAATTTTGTAACCAAACTCTCTAATGATATTCACTCTTGCCCATTCTTGCCTAGAATAAGGAAGAATTAAAAAAATAAGGCCCAAAATAGTGAACCAAACATGGCCTTAAGCTCTCCAATTCTCCAATCACTCGTATTCTCATCTTCAAAGTCATTTTAATAAGTACATCAGCCATTTTTTAAGAGTCTATCTATGTTTTCCTCTAGGCTTACCCAGATTAACTCAGCACTTCTCTTGAGCTTACCCGTATATATATGGATAGACACAAAATCTAAAATATTTGAAAGGACGCCCATTAATATTCATTGACTGGCATCTAACCTTCACCTCACAACTTCGGGAACCTTCTTAGTATTGGTAAACAGTCATTGCTCTTTATGTACAGAAATTGAGAGAGAGAGAGAGTGGAACCTAAGTACTGCTTGCACCGCTGTAGTCTGTACTACTATTGCTCAATAGTGGAACTACGTATCTTCTCCACATATTTACAGTATGGTTAAGCCTTTCCATTTGGCCCTTCTCGCTGACTGTTCAGGAGACATTGCTTTTCTCTTATTTGCATTGCTACTGTTCTCATCGACGTCSTCGTTACTGGTGATGACGTTAAAGTTGTTTTCTATAGAATGGTTGTTGTTGTTAATGGTAGAACTGCTGGTGGCGGTTTCATTGCAGCTAAAAGTCAGAGATTTCAAAAGGTGGGATTGAAGCTTCTTCACATCTGACAACTGAACGGGCTTTAGCAGAAACTCCTCTGCTCCTCCTTCCAAGCACCTGCTCCACAAAGAAGACATTAAAATCAAATCAAGTCAAGAGATCTTCCAGAAATCGTTCATTAATTACCAGTGAATGAGGGCAGAGTGGCGTCAGATATTCTCGTACATTATCAAACTTTAGGCCAAAGGTTTTATGTCGGACGAGGAATTGAAGAAAAGCTTAAAAAAAAAAGGTCACTTGTGCACCCAAACACATCCCAAAAGCGTCAAAAGACTAGTGGGTTTTTTCTTCTTTTCTTCTTTGTCAATTTGAAGGAAGCCAATATTTTCAAGGCTAGAATCATATTGAGTCAAAATAGGGGAAGATCTTCTGGGAATCATTTTGTCCACAATAACTTGGAGAGGGACGTCTAGGAAAGGAAATTCAGGATAGGACATCTGGGGTGCATTTCATCTGTGGAAGAAGCCATGGCAGTTCACATGGTGGGCACATGCAGGCTTTACAAAGTGGTGGGGTCACCAACCCACTGGGCCCTACTTCACAGCTCTGGTAAATCAAAAACCAACCAAATGACATGATTCTAGGCATTGCATTCATTGATGTTTTGCTTTTGTTCTTTTGGACAATTGATAGTATTCTTCCTTCCAAAAGGGTCCCATGGAATGTGATGGAGAAGGGGACAGATAAAGGTGGTTAATATTTCCCAGCTGGTAAAAATGCACTTTTCTACATAATGATGGGGCTCCACAAATGCAGCTATTTCAGAAAAAATAATAAAGGATTCATTAATTTCCAAGCAAATGTAATTTTGTTTTTTTAATTAGTAGCTAATTTTCTCAAAACCCTTCAATGCAGATTTGTAGCTTGAAATTATTTCATACAAAGCTTTAATTTTCAACCCTTGGATATCAGAATTTCGATTTTGGTAACCTTTATACACAACTGAAAACTGAAAATTTTATTTCCAAAAAGTTGCCTTTTCTTTTCTTTTGTAAAGGTAAGCTATAACTTATCCTATAATTAAATCGACCCCTTAACATTTCAATTTTAAAATTTTAATAAATTTCAATGCATATTTGTTGCTTGAAATTATTTCATACAAAACTTTTCAAACCTTATATATATCAGAAATTGATTTTGGTCGATCACTCTGCAAAACTGAAACCTTCCCAAAATTTTCTTTAATTTTTCTTTTCTTTTGGAAAGGTAAACCATACCTATGTACTATATATTCAAAAGTGTGCTCAAATAAAATGTTAGTCCACTTATAGCTAGTTTGCTATATGTTGAATCAATCACAGATGTAGAATTAAGGGAGACTTGTTTTCCATTTCCATTCCCAAACGGTGGCTTCTGTAAAGTAAGTGTGAAGTGCACAAAAGTTGGCTTGAAACGTCTGAGAAACGCCTAGAAATTAAAGCACTTCTCTTGATGGAATTTTTCTTCTTACAAGTTATCAAACTTCTCTTTAACCTATTCACCTTTCTACATACATTTTGTACTTGTTTCATTTGGGTGCCTTTACTTCTTCCCCATTTGGCAAAGTCTTGGGTTCATTTCCATTTCTCACTCCGTTTCCACCACGGCACCAACCATTTCCCTTGGTTTGACAATTATTCTTGCTTAGAATCTTTCACCATGAGACTGACAAATGATCTCCCTCTTGATGAGATATATGATTCGGTTCATGAACCCAGAATATAAATGCTTGTATTGACTCTACATGAAGAGGATGGTTAGCCATCCTTTTCTGGGTCCAATAGATTTCTTCCTGGTTTGATGAAATCTTTCTAAACCAACTACTAAAACAAATACAACACAGATTTGACTTACATATTGATTCTGGATGGTACGTTTTCCGATGACATAACAACCACCGGAACATCTTTCCAAGAAGATTTCTGCTCACGTAAGGGAGAAGAAAACCCATGAAAATTGTTAATTTAATAAATGTTTAAATAACTTAATAAATTAATTAAAAGACATGGGCTTAGCTCTATAACATGATAGAGGAAAAGAAACAGAGAGATGATGAAGAGTTGATGATGGTTGACCTTGACCCGTTTGAGCAGATCATAGCCAGTCATCCCAGGCATACAGTAGTCTGTCATGATCAAATTCACCTTCACACCCTGGGTCTGATAATGGAAACATGTATTAAAATAATAGTGCAAGGACATCTTAGGATTGCTCAAAGATCTGCAAATCACTGATCAGAACAGGTGACAGGTGATGATTTGGTTAAAATAAAGTTTATAAGACCATAAGATAGTGAAAGGAGTAGATAATATATGTGCCCATGTGTCCTTTGGGAACTTAACTTAAAATAATTAATAAAAATAAGTTTTTTTTTCTTTGAAAAATCTGGTTATGGTATACTATATTATACAGATAATAAGAATCTTGAGCAAATATTTTATGACATAAAGAATACTCTCCTTTTTCATGTTTTTATATTTCTTTCATTTGCCTTAGTATTCAAGGAAAGCCTGCTCTTTAGAGGCTCAATACAGTAATGAAAAATAAATGTTTTCAAAATCATAACATGCTAGCAACAAAAGAACACAGAAACAGAAAGAACACTTAGTTCTTTTTTTTTTTTTTTTTACATTGTTTTGACTTAATTATAACTACTTGTCTTTTGATTTTCAGTCTTTACCAGAAACCCATTTTAAGATCTCATTGGAAACAGTTAATAATAGGCCTACTTTTGAAAACCCAAGCATCAATGAACAAAAGTTTACAGAAAGAAAACCAATGATGCTTGCTAATTAGAGATCATATCCTCACCTCTTGTTGTGAGGATGGAGATGAGGAGGAGGAAGAAGATGGTGTAGATTCATTATTATCGAGGTTATCAATCAAACCCAAATACTCCAAAGCTTTATCACCAGATTCCACACAAGTTACTGGAACAACAAGGAAAGACTATGAGGAAACAATGGATCAAAAAAGATGACAGGAAAAAAGAAAGAGGAGTTTCAATCAATATATAACCAAAGATTGTATTTCCTACGTTTTAGAAAAAAAAAATAACAGACTTCATACTTGAATTCTCCTGAAAATGAAGAAACCAGATCATCAGTACATGTTTATATATTTAACTGTGAGTTACCTTGATAAGAAGAGATTGTGAGTAGCCTCTCTAAGAGCTTTCTATCAATGAGACTATCATCTACTGCTAATACATGAAAGTGCTGGTCTTGTTGGGTATCTTCAGGTCTCGATTCTAGATCCATTTACAGCTTCAGAGTGAACTTTAATGGTGGTCGGGCTAGTTGGGTATGTACAGGCTTTATAGGTAGTGAGAGAGAAAAGCAGTGCTTGATGGGTTTGCAGTATTACTCACGTAGGTTTTTGAGTGGGTGAGAAGCAATGCTGTTTTTCTCAATTGTTTCTGTTTTCTTGGTTTCTCGTGATCTCCTTTAGATACGCTAATTTTCAGTGGGTCCCTTCTCTCTCTCTGTCTCTTTCTCTCTCTACTTCTCGTGTTCATTTTAGATTGGTTGAAAAGGAAATCAAAGGATCCTTGTTACCATTTAGGCTCTCTAGCGTGCAGTTGATTCTGGGTGGGTATATGACTTTTGAAAACCGGAAGATCCGGAAGTAACACCTGTTTAAATTATAACTAGCACAAAAGCCCTGAGCTCTTTCTCATGTGTTTCTGTGTACATAATTGCCAATGAATGCTTATAAACGAGTCTATGCAACTGCCAGATGCCCTGCCACACAGGCAAGGTGGGACCCATGCATGGCTAATTTTGTCTCATAGCGTATGGCTTTCATGAATCCCACCTTTGTCTACTGGGAGATATCAAATATAACTGCATGATGTATTTTCTTTAATTCTAACTATTTGTGATGAACCATCTCAGTTTCATATCGCATAATTAACTAATAACTTATATGTCTAAAGAGAGAGTCATTGCCTAATACCGAATGTTGGTCCCAGCTATTCGGACCCAACCTTTTAAGGCTGTGATTGGTTTGATGGAAATTTAGATTTACATTCAAATCAATCTAGCCTTACTTTCATTATAACTTTTTATATGCACCAAAGGTAGGGACTAGGTTAGCCCCATAATTTGCACCCATTTGTATTTAGTTAAAGCATTTGAAATGAACTACACCAAATTAAAGTCGGTGTGATCGGATAGCTCTTAACTGTAAATGGTAGTAGGTAGCTAGGGGATCATTTTGTTTTGTTTTAAATTGTTTTTCTTTTATTTTGGTAAGTGGGGAGAAGTATATATGTGGGGTTTTTAGGTTGAAATATCGGTCTGCTTTTGTGTCTATTGCCAATTTAATATACATACATGTATACATACATACATACATGTATACATATATATGCATTTTTAACTTTGACAATCCTTAAACTTTTAAAAGAGCCATTTTTGCTTTCAAATTATGATGGAAATGTGCCAGTTTAAGACAAAAATAAATGATGTTAAAGATGCCATTGTTTGTTTTATTAGACAAATGATAAAATAACAGGGTCCATTGACATGGGATTACTCAAGTCAAAAAAGAATTAGAAAATTACAGACTGGTCCCACTTAAAACTCAATAATTTCATTGTTCCCTTTGATTCCACCAAGTTCACTAAATCTCCATACTACTTCATGGCCTTCCGAGAAAAACCTAGCTCCGATGAACTTCCGGTTACAATAAGTAGAGTTTAATTGAACTCCAGCCTCACAGACACCTTTCCATAGAGCAGGAACAAGGCTGAGATTGAGATCGAACAAGTTATTCCGCCGCTCAATCCAGATTCTAGTGGCTTTTTCATCATAATTTGAGGGCAGAAATGGCCCTTTTAATTCTTTAGGGTCTAAAGTGCATTTTTAGCAAAGTTCAAGGGTTATCAAAGAAAAAAAATCCCTATATATTCATTCATTTATTTATTTCCCATTCCAGCCCCCATTTGGCCAATTCCTACACTATGCCGCATTAATGAACAATAATCATTGGGAAGGATGAATTAGAGTTTGGGTTTGACTTCTACTAAACCGGCTGATATATTGTCATCCCTAATGTTAATTAACCATCCTATTTGTTCATTAAATTTCCCTGTTTTTTCATGTATTAGGTTTTCCTTTAGGTTATATTTGGTTTGAAGGAAAGTGTATTTCCCTTCCTTTCCCTAYCTTTTCCTTCAGACCAAACATAGCCTCAGAGATGTTATTTATGAGTATATAAATAATACACTGACCTCAGAAATTAAGATTTTTTTCTTCTTTCTTTTTATGGCTTTGGCATCCGATTATTAGTTTCCATTTCATCAGAAAGATGGCCCCCTTCACTCTCTAAGCATTTATGTTGAGCTCAAAGTGGAAGATACAACAAAAGATGGCAAGCTTATATAAACAACTTAATTGTGTGATGAAGGTCCCTAGGGACTAGGGAGATTACAAAGTTTGATGGGGACAACAGTATTAGGAAGAAAATGAGCCTAATTTACAAGTCAATCTGCTGCCTGGTTCGCCTCTTTGTACATGTGCTTATTATCTAACACCACCATTCAACTTCTCTATCTGTAAAGAGTCCTAAATAATATTCCTTAAATTCCAAGGAGGAGAGATCAAATAACATATCAAAATATTCGAGTCCCCTTCTATTATGATTGACTAGTCTATGAAGTTGGCCGCCAAATTGTAAGTTTCCCAAACTGCCCAAACCTCAGCTGCATTTTTAGAAGAGGTGCCTAGAGTTGATGAATGGGGAGGTTAATGTATAATACGGGCTACCTCTTCATTTTTTTTTATTCTAATGTTTCTCAATATTTTGATAAAATGTAGGAATAACCAAATGGTTTTTAAGGAATTCTTTTAACTTGCTTATGTTGTTAGCTAATAGTTTATACACAAGTGCACATAGAACATGTGTTAATATGGGAAATGCATTCTCGTATCTAATATTATAATAATATGAAAAAATAATTCCTTTTTTGTTAAATAAATAAATCAGTGGAAGGTATAAGAAAAAGGTCCCACAGGGAGTTGAACCCAGGTCGCTGGATTCAAARTCCAGAGTGCTAACCACTACACCATGGAACCAAGCTGTTTTATATCCAATTCATCTTCATCATCATCACTAATTCACCATTATTGTTATTATTATTGGGGTTATGCTTGGCAAATTTTTTAGTTCATGGAAATTCTTGCATATGTGATTACAATGCAAAGGCACCGGTCTGGTCTCAAGACATGCTAAGAGGCTTAAAATTGAATAATCTAACATCTCTCTCTTTCTAACCACAGAAGAGACTGCCTCAACCAAAAACAGCTAGGAATGATCGGTGATTGCATGAAAGCATGTATTTGGCCCTAGTGATCTGTTTCAAGCATGATTTTCAAAATCGGATCAGACCGGACGGTCGGACCGAAAAAATCAGGAACCGGTTCCGTTTTACCCTAGAACTGTTATTTTGCCAAAAACTGTTGATTTAGTCAGCAAATCACTGACTCAAGTGGTCAAACTGTTTGAACCGTCCAATGGTTTTAACCATTTTTTTTATTTTTTAATTTTTTTTGTCAGAATGGACTATCCATTTGATTTGAATGATCGGACCGTTCAACCCAAAAACCGGACCCTGACTRGTTCATTGTCCTGTTCGATTTTAAAAACCTTGATTTCAAGGGGCCATTAATATTCATATAATTATTTCCTGCCTTCATTGTTTTAGATGCCATAAATATTCTTTAGGCAAATGATAATATTATAATTTGCAATAGCAAAATAAATGGTAATTTAGGCTCTATTTGGATAAGCTTTTGCTTTTGAGGTTTGGGCGGTGGGAAGCAAAAATGAGCCAAAAAGTGTTTAGGCATTTGGTGAAATTTKCTTTTAATGCATAACAGTCTAAAAGACAAAACACTTTTAAGCCAAAAGGAACAAGGTCTAAAATGGGGTTTTTGTGGTTTTGGGCTTTCAAAGCACAAAAACTGAAACTTATCCAAACAGTCTTTAGTTATAATAGCTTTAATTTGTTAAATCATGGGTTTAAAGCTTCAATGCAAATTACAAATGCTTTCCTTTCTGGTCTTATAATTGTAATTAAGGACAAAATGAAGAGAATTGGGACCACCCTAAAACGAAATCAACCAAAGCATGGAATAAATCTTTTGTAATAATATTGACGGAGACATCATATAAGTAAAGGTTGGGGACCAGGGGCCCACAAAAAAATTGAAATCTCTGTGAGCCCCTACAAGTAAAATCTTTTGTGGGTCCCTCTTGGCTTCTATTCTAAATCTGAGAGTCTCGAATCTGTCCCCATCAAGGGGGTGCCAAGCACAGAAGTTGTCACAGTGAACCAACACTGTCAAATGCTTTGTTCTCACTCGATGTTCGGCCCACCTCTTGTCTTCCACGTGGTACTTCCTGTTAATCCCGTGTCACGTGCCACAGTGGGCTCTAAACGAGCAAAGGGACTAATCATGACCCATGATCCCACGCCTTGTCTTTCTCTTCTTCTACTAAATGATATTCTTCTTTGCACTCCTTGTCACTGAGTCAAGAAGCCAATGGATTGGTTTTGGATTGATCCCGTCCAGTCCAAAATCAATTAGGACAGATTGAACGGACTAATAAGATATATTGGATTTGACTAATTCGGTCTAAAATATTTATTAGATTGGATTAGACTTGATCTGTTCGTAACAAATTTATATTGAATTAGGTTGGATTAAGCCAATATCTGGTCCATTGATATAAGATAATAATATATGTGTTAATRGATCAGATTTGGGTTAAAACCAATCTAAATCAAAATAAATTTGAACAGATTAGATGATTCAGACATTGAATTGGACTGGTCCAAATTGGTCTAAAGCATTTATTGGATTGGATTTGACCTGATCCATTTATAATCACATTGGATTGTATCGAATTGGACCAGATCCAATCCAATTGACACCCCTACATACATTGGACAATTTGAATCATGGGATGGTGCACTGTGAGCATAATTTGCTGTTTCTAGGGCTGCAAATTGTATCTGATTCTGAATTTGAATTTGAAACTGGATCAAAATATGAATCCATCCAATTTAATCCGATATAATCCGATTTGATTCGATTAAAATATACATATGTCCATACATGCTTAAAATTTATATCATATCTGATAGTAAAGTTGGTTTTAATTTTGTGTCTTTACTAAATTATCATACATTCAAGTTTCATATAAGTAATTTTTGATCTATTTTATTTATGAAATACAATATTAAAGTCATTTTTAATTCATTTAACTTATTAATAGTATGGGGATGTTTGGAACTGTGGCCGTTTTTCAAAAAAATGGTGCCATGTCGGATCCACATAGGCATTTCAATAAATGCCCATGTATCTCATTATTTGGTTCAGCCGATTAT